TTCAGGAGCTGTACTGGAAAGTTCCCGAGGTGCAGCCCCTGTGAGAGAGGGAAGGAGGCAGGATTGGGCGGAGGGAGGAGGTGAACGGACTGCAGAGCCGTGGCTACAGGGTCAGCCAACCCCTGACCCTTAGAAATGAAACTCAAACTCTGTGGTACTGCTAGAAAAAAAATCCTTCAGCTGCCTGCCTTAAACCACCACCACTCTCAGGGACTTCCAGAGCCAGAATGCCCTTCCCTTGAGGTGGGGGCAGGCGCCTGTATGCCACACTGCCCTTCCTCCAGGGAAGGGGAGTGTGGCGTCTGTCCGTCTGGCGGAGGCCAGCACCCCAGGAGCTGGAGGAGATGTGCGCCCCACCACAGAGTGCACTGCAGATAGTACGTGAGCCTGGCCGTACAGCTGCTGGCCGCTTGGCATTTTGATGGTGTTTCCTAAAAGGAATTTGAAGGGCATTGTGTTCAAAAGTTGAAAGTTCAAATTAACCCCAGACTTCAACTTCGCAAAATGATTTTCTTCTTGTCCTTTTTTTAAAATGAAGATTTATTGAATGCCAGCATTCCAAAGGTTTTACTTAAAAAAATTCTTCCAGTTGTACCATTTGTTCAGGATGTATGGTAATTGAAGAAATAAGTAAGACTTCCGTTTCTTTCAATGCATACCATTTGATCCAGATACAAAACCTCTACTTAGGAAAAAATGAAATGAGGAAACTGCTGTTAATATTACTTTTATTTATGTTCTGCATTTTTTAAATAGTTTGTGTTGTACATCTTATCATTAAAAAAAAAAAAAAGAAAACAAAAGCTTCAGCTTCCTGCCTTAAACTGCTACCCTAATTCTGGGGACTTTTTGAAATCTTTTTCAGTAAGCATATATTACTTTTATAACAGGGGACAGAAAGGATGTGATATTTAAAGAAGGTATTTGGGAGAAGGGCAGAACCGTAATTAAATTCTGAATATACTTAAGGGCAAAATTAGAAAATTGAATATGGCTGGGAAACTTATAAGTTCTCTAAATGCAGTATTTAATTAAAGACTGAGATCCATCAAATAAGCCTATTTGTAAATTTGAAAAGTGAAAGAGGAACAAACTTTCCTCTTTCACCCCTTTGCAACAGGATGAACAAACCATCATCTGAGAATAACAGTCCTTTCCTTCCCTGTCATGTGTAAGGGAAACATCATCAAGAGAGTAGCACAAACAAGGAACTATAAACACACGTAGTCCCCAACTGACAATGGGGTTCTAGTCCAGGAACTACGTCAGAAGACGGTTCTGATGTAAGTCAGATACCTCTTTTTTTTTGGCTGCTGTACAGCAGTGTTTTGAACAGTAAATCGTAACGTTGAACATCTTCGAGTGAATATCTGAGAAGATAACATCAGCAGATTATGCTCTGCAACATTATACGTAGTCACATCACTAACACTAAGACGTACCAAAAACAGACTGGTCGTAACCGCGGTCATCGTAACTCAGATACGCCGGGCGTGTCGGAGACTGCCTGTAGTGGGGTTGAATGTCCGGAACCTCGTCCTGTCCTAGCCTCAGTCCTGTCCCTGCTCATCCAGTGTCCCCTAGTGTTCTGTGGCATTGAAATTGTTTGATATTTTATATTGAAGTAATTTCAGACCTTCAGAAAAGTTGCAGAAATAGTACAGCGTTCCCAAGTACCCATCACCCAGCCTCCCGTAACATTAACATCTTGCATGACCATAATACATCATACGATGATTTCAATCGGGGAAGTTAACATTGGTGTCATTACCTAAGCTGTAGATGCATTTGCATTTCAACCAGTGTTTCCATTATTTCCTTTTTTCTGTTCCAGAATCCTGTTGAAGTTCCCACATTGCATTTAGTCATTATTTCTCCTTAGTCTGTTCCAACTTGTAACAATTCCTCAGTCTTTCCCTTGTTTTTGGTGCTCTTAACACTTTTGAAGAGACTGACCAGTTATTTTGTAGCATTGCCTTCAATTTGGGTTTGTCGGTGTTTTCTCGTGATTGGAATGAGGTTATGCGTTTTTTGCAGGATCAGCACCAGAAGGGTGGTGTGCCTGTCTCACTGCATCTTATCTGAGGGGTTCATGATGTGGATGTATCTTATTACTGGTGATTATTGTATTGATTATTACTTACATTGATTGTCCAAAGGGTTAACATGCTTGGCTGCTGACCGAAAGGTTGGTGGTTCAAGTCAGCCCAGAGGCCCCTCTGAAGAAAGGCCTGGAAACCGAATGCAGCACAGTCCTACTTTGACTGTATTGACACGCATGGGGTCGCCGTGAGTGGGCGTCGGTGGCACTTTTGTTTAACCCTCATCACTTGGTGAAAGGGGTGCCCGCCGGCTTTCTGCACCGCAGAGTGACTCTTTCCCTTTGTCGTCACTGGCTGGCTTGGGGGATATTCTGGGACTATGGAAATCCTATTCCTCCTCAGACTTTCACTAATTTTAGCACCCATCAGTAGGTTTTGTTTGGAACAACTATTACTGTGGTATTTGCCTAATGGAGATTTTCTGTTTTTCTCTTTCCTTCTACGTTAATGAATTGGAATTCTATCCAGTTTATTAATTTACTTGATTACTTACATCAGTACAGACTTCTTGTTGTTGTCAGGTGCCGTTGAGTTGGTTCCGACTCATAGCGACCCCATGTACAACAGAAGGAAACACTGCCCGGTCCCGCGCCATCCTCACAATCGTTGCTATGTTTGAGCTCATTGTTGTTGCCGGTGTCAGTCCATCTCGTTGCGGGTCTTCCTTTTTCGCTGACCCTCTACTTTACCAAGCATGATGTCCTTCTCCAGGGACTGGTCCCCTCCTGATAACATATCCAAAGTATGTGAGACAAAGTCTCACCATCTTCATTTCTAAGGAACATTCTGGTTGTACTTCCTCCAAGACACATTTGTTCGTTCTCTTGGCAATCCATGGTATATTCAGTATTCTTTATTAACATCATGATTCAGAGGTGTCAGTGTGCAGAGATTTTGAATTTTGCCCATAGAATCCTTCAGTATTGCAACTCAAGACTTGAGTTTTTTCTTCAGTTCTTTCAGCTTGAGAAATGCCGAGTGTGTTCTCCCTTTTGGTTTTCTATCTCCAGATCTTTGCACATTTCATTATAATACTTTGTTTTCGCGAGCCACCCTTTGAAATCTTCTGTTCAGCTCTTTTACTTCATCATTTCTTCCATTTGCTGTGGCTACTGTGCATTCAAGAGCAAGTTCCAAAGTCTCTTCTGCCATCCATTTTGGTCCATTTCTTTCTTTCCTGTCTTTTTAATGACCTTTTGCTTTCTTTGTGTATGATGTCCTTGATGTCATCCTACAGCTTGTCTGGTCTTCGGTCATAAGTGTTCAGTGTGTCAAATCTATTCTTGAGATGGTTTCTAAATTCAGGTGGAATATACTCAAGGTCATACTTTGGCTCTCGTAGACTTATTTTAATTTTCTTCAGCTTCAACTTGAACTTGCATATGAGCAATTGATGGTCTGTTCCACAGTTGTTCTCGGCCTTGTTCTGATGATATTGAGCTTTTCCACCTTCTCTTCCCACAGATGTAGATTTATTTTATTCTCTGGGCTAAAATGTAGTACTCTGATTATTTGTGGCTCAGATTGTTTCCACTTTGGCCGTTAGGAGCTTTTCGGGGTTGGTGGCTGTGTTCTTTCAACCAGCCGCTGTGCTCGTTTGAACCCTTCCTTCCTTGCATTGCAAGGTGCTCCAGCTTCATCTTGTGTGTGTCCTTCTCCAGGAAGCCCTGGCTCCCTGTTTAGTAGGAAATGGTGTTTAGAAGCCAGGATCTGATTGCCGGAAGTGCTCGTTACTGTGGGATTGTCATTACTGCTGAGCCCTCAGCAGACAGCTAGGAAAATACATGTATGTCCAGTGCCTACGCATGTATTCCTGTGCATATTGCCTTTTTTCTCTGTATGTAAATTAAATACTGTGAGTTAATACTAATATCTGTAGTTCTAATCCACCACCACAGTGTTCCTCTTAGCCTTCAACCCGTTGCCGTTGATTCCAACTCACAGAGACCCTGTGGGACAGGGTGGAACTGCCCCATAGAGTTTCCAAGGAATGGCTGGTGGATTTGAACTGCTGGCCTTTTGGTCTTCTGGTTAGCAGCCCAGCTCTTAACCCCTTCCCCTTTTCCTTATTTGTAACTTCTTTCTCCAATGGCAGGAACCTCAGCTCTCATCATCTACAATATATTATGCATTCCATTCTGGTATACACCTAAAAGTTGTTTCACAATTGCTGACCCATGACCCTTGGGAGAAACAAGTCTGATAACTAGATTACAGCTTTTATGGACAATTCTTGGTGTCTTTAGCCTTAGAGTATTCCATCACCATACTGTTTTTTAAAATTACTTACGTTATTTCTTTTTCTCCCACCCCCTTTAGTGTGGTTAAGGAACCACGGTGGCGCAGTGGTTACAGTGCTTGGCTGCTAACTGAAAGGTCGGCAGTTGCAACCCATCAGCTGCTCCGCAGAAGAAAGATGTGGCAGTCTGCTTCCCTAAAAGATCACAGCCTTGGAAACCCTGTGGGGCCCTTCTCCCCCGTGCTACAGGGTCACTATGAGTCAGAATCGACTCGATGGCAGTGGGCTTGGTTTTGGTGTTTATCAGAGTAGCGTAGAGTGCTAAGAATGGATTGCTGGGTGGAAAGGGAAGTGTGTATGCAGTTTCCTTAGGTCTTACCACGTTTTTCTCCAGGAGGCTACATCCCACCAGCAGTTTTTGAGTGTGTGCTTCCCCTCCCTCTGTAACAGCCTATGGTGTCACGTCGGCTTTGAAGTTTTAACACCATGAGCAACAGGTCATTTTGGAAATCTTGAGATTTCTCTAAATTCGGTTATTTTTATTTATTTTTAACGTTAGCACACGCCAGCATACATGGGCAGGTAAGAGGTTCCTTGCGTTTCTGAAATTATCTAACACGCGTGTAATGAAGACGCGCTCTCTTCTTTTCTCCATCTAGGTTTTGCCCCTGTGGTCTATTTGTCAAATGAATGCCGTGATCTGCTGGCCGTGAAGTTCTGGTCAGATCTCAATGAAGACATCGTTAAACCTCCTGTGTTAATTGCTGCCAGCAACCTCCAGTGGCGGCCACTATCCGGATCAGGAATCCCGACTTTATTTGCTGGCGATGTTTCCACATTTTCTGCCAGCCCAAAGGAGAGCCACTTCCAAGAGGCGTTCAGCAAAATGAAAAATGCCATTGAGGTGAAATTATTTTCAGCATTACCGTTCTTTTTTGGTATTTTCCTATCTTGACACTCACATGTTAAGGAAGTGGCCGTTACGAAAATGGGGTTATTGACATAATACACAAGGTGAAGTTTCATATATTAATTGTCCATGAAGCCGAGGAGACTGAGGAAAGGTGGGGACGGATAGCTACAGGGAGAAAAGAACGATTCCAAGGGAAGTGACTTGGGAGAAACTGAGAAGGGCGTGAAGAGCTGCAGAGCGGGTGGGCAACGCAGAAATTCGTAGCGAGAATGCACCACCTGGGGCATGCAGCAGTGGGCAGTGTCATTAGTGAAAACCTCAGTGTGTAAACCGCAAGTTTCCGTTTAACTTCACGTCCAGAATTTTATACAGTTTATCACCTATCTTTGATTTGAAATAATCCCAAACAGGAGAACACTATTAATTTCCCCAGGATCATGCATGCTTCTTAGGCTTTAATCCATATATACATCATGCATTATATTAGCCATCATCTATTGAGTGCTCACTGTGTGCCAGGCATTGTCTCATTTCATTCTGCTCTCAACCCCATGAGGTTGGGAACTGTTACCTACTTTATGGATGAGAAACAGAAGTTGCCCCGGGCCATACAGCCGAGTTGGTGGAACCGGGATTCCGACTTAGGCCATCGGGATGCAGAGCCCAGACCCTTCTCTCCCTTGCATCTCTGCTCCCCATTGACATAATGGCTTTCATATATTGGTAGTTAGTGAAGAATCCATACAAGATAAGCCTCCTTGTTCTATAGTTTAATGTTTGAAACATGTTATTCAGAATGTATTTCTATAAAGTCATATTTAAAAAGTGCTGGGGTAGCGGGCGGTGTGAGGGAAGCTTGCATTAATATTTCGCCCAGAGACTCAGGCAGAGTGCAGAGCAGCGCCAGCTGATGGGGTTTCAGAGCTGGGCTGGGCTGCATCCGTTGTTTGGCTCACAGCAGGTTACCTCCTCTCAACACCCAAGTTTCCCTAGACCCCACGAAGGGCGGTTCATGTTAAATGTCCTCTCTGGCTCTCATTAGTCTTGCTGAAGAGTCAGCTAGTAACTGCCGTTTGCCATGAATTAGGCTAACCCGTAAGAGAGTTCTGATGTTTGACATCTGTGAATTCTGAAATGAGGATTTCATGTGGTTTAACCTACATGTTGTTTCAGTTAATTCTTGGAACATGTGAGGTAGTGAGGCAGGTGTCTCATTTTACTACCTAAGGCGCACTCTGGAAGGAGCCCTGGTGGCGCAACAGTTAAGTGCTCGGCTGCTAACGGAAGGTTAGCGGTTCAGACCCACCCAGCACTCCACAGGAGTAAAGACCTGGCAATCTGCTCCCATAAAGATGACAGCCTACAAAATCCTATGGGACAGGTCTACTCCACCACGTGGGGTTGTTGTGAGTCGAAAATGGACTCAGTAGCAGAAGGAATACTCTCGATGTCAGATGATTTACAGCCTTTAGGTAGGAAATAAAGCTGGGACTTGAGCCTCCATCTTCCAGCTCCAAATCCAGCACCCCAGGATGCCTTGTTGTTTAAACTAGATCATGGGGAGGTCTCAACGTCTCTTACCTTCACACGCACTCACGCACACACACGTGCGCATACTCACATGCGTACACTTGCACGCACACTCCCTCACTCACACACACTCACTCTTTCTCTGTGTCCTGTCCCTTCTAACTTTAACCCAACCCCACTGCCCTCGAGGCGATTCTGACTCATAGCGACCCTGTGGGACGGAGTAGAACTGCCCCATAGGGTTTCCAAGGCTGTGATCTTCACGGAAGCGCGCTGCCACATCTTTCTCCCACGGAGCTGCTGGGGAGTTCCAGCCTCTGACCTTTTGGTTTGCAGCCGAGCACTTTAACCACCGTGCCCCCAGGGCCCCTCCAGCAACTTTCACTCCCCAGATCACTCCTCTTGCTTTTGCATTGGCATATTAGCATATTGTTTGACAGTTACTACCAAATTTTGGGTGTCTTACTCTTTTGCTCTGGTTTAAATTTTTTATTCTTTAATTTTTTTTATTTCTAGTTTTAATGTAAACACTGTGAAAACATGAACGTGTGGATTTGCAATTTACAAAACAGCTCTTACCATTTATTTTCTTAGAACATTGATGTATTTTGCAATGATGCAGAAAACAAGCTAATGCATATACTTAATGCAAATGATCCCAAGTGGTCCACCCCGAATAAAGACTGCCTTTCAGAGCTGCACGCTGCTCAAGCAGTCCTCAGTGCAGACAGTAAGTTTCTGGTAAGTTCATGTGGACATAAGGAATAATAGGATTCTTACAAATGAAGGCAACAGTATATTCTGATGTATACCTAGTAAACATGGTAAAATGTAATTAAACTTACTTAGAAAGTGTGGTTAATGGGTATCCGGCTCCCATTGGAAATTATATCTTGTTTACTGGAGCAAGAATGTAACACCCTTTGGGGTCAGGTTTTCCAAGCAGGCGCTTTCACGTTTAGCATTCTGAGCGCCTGGGACTGAAAGCCTTTTTTGAGTGTTTCTTTTTGCCAGGAGGCCTGTTCCATACACTTAGAGTGGTTTCTAAGCTCAGTTTGGTTTAACTCTTTAAACCACAAAAAATGTGTCCACGTGTTAAAAATCAAGCTAAGTTCTGTCATGGTCGTGGTGTTAGGTGCTGTCAAGTCGATTCCAACTGATAGCGACCCTCTGTACAGCAGAACAGAACACTGCCTGGTCCTGGACCATCCTCACAGTCGTTGCTATGCTTAAGCCCATTGTTGCAGCCACTGTGTCAGTCCATCTCATTGAGGATCTTCCTGTTTTTCGCTGACTCTGTACTTTACCAAGCATGATGTCCTTCTCCAGGGACTGGTCCCTCCTGATAACATGTCCAAAGTATGTAAGACGTAGTCTCGCCATTCTTCCTTCTAAGGAGCATTCTGGTTATACATCTTCAAGACAGATTTGTTCTTTCTTTTGGCCATCCATGGTATATTCAATATTCTTTGCCAGCACAAGTCAAAGGCATCAGTTCTTCGGTCTTCCTTATTCATCGTCCAGTTTTCATATGCATATGAGGCAATTAAAAACACCATGGCTTGGGTCGTGTGCACCTTAGTCTTCTGGGTGACACCTTTGCTTTTCAACACTTTAAAGAGGTCTTTTGCAGCAGATGTGCCCAGTGCAGTGCATATTTTGATTTCTTGACTGCTGCTTCCATGGGTGTTGACTATGGATCCAAGTAAAATGAAATCCTTGACAACTTCAGTATTTTCTCCATTTATCAAGATGTTGCTTATTGGTCCAGTTGTGAGGATTTTTGTTTTGTTTACATTGAGGTGTAATCCATACTGAAGGCTGTGGTCTTTGATCTTCATCAGTAACTGCTTCAAGTCCTCTTCACTTTCAGCAAGCAAGGCTGTGTCATCTGCATAATGCAGGTTGTTATTGAGTTTTCCTCCAATCCTGATGCCACATTCTTCTTCATATAGTCCAGTTTCTCGGGTTATTTACTCAGCATACAGATTGGATAGGTATGATGAAAGGATACAACCCTGACACACACCTTTCCTGACTTTAAACAACATAGTATCCCCTTGTTCTGTTTGAACAACTGTCTCTTGGTCTATGTACAGGTTCCTCATAAGCACGATTAAGTGTTCTGGAATTCCTGTTCTTCACAGTGTTATCCGTAATTTGTTATGATCCACACAGTTGAATGCCTTTGCATAGTCCATCAAACACAGGTAAACATCTTTCTGATACTCTCTGCTTTCAGCCAGGATCCGTCTGACATCAGCAGTGATAGCCCTTGTTCCACGTCCTCTTCTGAACCTGGCCTGAATTTCTGGCAGTTACCCGTCAGTGTACTGCTGCAGCCGCTTTTGAATGATCTTCGGCAAAATTTTACTTGTGATATTAATGATATTATTCAATAATTTCCACATTTGGTTGGATCACCTTTCTTGGGAATAGGCATAAATATGTATCTCTTCCAGTCGGTCGGCCAGGTAGCTGTCTTGCAAATTTCTTGGCATAGACGCGTGAGCACTTCCAGGGCTGCATCTGTTTGTTGAAACATCTCCGCTGATATTCCGTCAGTCCCTGGAGCCTTGTGTTTCGCCAACGCCTTCAGTGCAGCTTGGACTCCTTCCCTCAGTACCACAGGTTCCTGATCATATGCTGCCTCCTGAAATGGTTGAACGTCGACCAGTCCTTGGTATAGTGACTCTGTATATTCCTTCCATCTTCTTTTGATGCTTCCTGCGTCGTTGTGAAGTTCGGTCATATTGGCTAATAACTAACTCTTAAGTAGCCGACCGTTTCCAAAGGGTCCATCTGTATTAGCTCATTCAGTCCTCAGCCACCCTATAAGGTGAAGACTGTTAGTGTCCCCATTTTACAGACGAGGAAACTGTGGCACAGGGAGGTCGTGCCCTTTGCCTGACGTAACACAGCTGGGAGAGTAAGTGTTAGAACACAGACTGTGTTGTTAAAATGGTTTTAAAATGTTTGTCTTTGTTAAACCCGTTAATAATAAAAAAGATTAAACAATAAGTTTCCTAAGTTTTGTCCCCACCTCCTCTTTTGTCTTTTACTTTGTCTTCCTCTTTCTTTTGTCCGATTGTCATTTTCATATCCTCTAGTGCAAAATTCTTTCTTTCTGGAATAGGACTGTGAACGCCTCTAGACATCGTTAGCTCTACTGGCCCGTGGGGGAGTGAGCGTGTGTGCGGTGTTTGTGTGACTCAATACTTGTAATGAAAAGTGAATTTGATTTTTATACATTAGCACATAATTACGGTAGGCTCCTTGATTTGTTTTTTATTAGCTGTCTTTTTCTAATCATGAGATTAATTATCGGTTGTTCGTCACTTTGCAGCCAGAAGGGAAGGCTCCTTCCACACCTGTATCAGCCCAGAAGACTTTGAAATCTTGGTGTAAAGGGGAGAAAGAAAGTGATGACCACAGAGCCGCCCGGAAGAGAAGAGCCTTGGACTTGCTGAGCAGACTGCCTCTGCCTCCGCCTGTTAGTCCGGTCTGTACGTTTGTTTCTCCGGCTGCACAGAAAGCATTCCAGCCGCCACGGAGTTGTGGCACCAAGTACAAAACGCCTATCAAGAAAAAAGAACTGACTTCTCCTCAGTTGACTCCACGTAAAAAAGTCAGTGAAAGTTCTCTTTTGGAAAGCGATTCGATAGCTGACGAAGAACTTGCCTTGATAGACACTCAGGCCCTGTTGTCTGGCTCAGCAGGAGAAAGTCCGCTCACACCTATCGGTGGTCCCACTAGGACTGCGGCCACTAGGTCAGAAGGCCAGCCGGGACTGCAGACGCTTTATGGTGCATCTGTGGTCAGAGAACGGGAAGATCCCCCAGCCGGCGCAGAAGAAGGTGGGACTCCTGTGCAGGAGACGAGCGTAACACAGAGCACACCCACGAGACTTCACAGGCGACCGAAGCGCACGTGACATGAACGAGCTGCTGACTCTTAGCCTTCCCAGTGTGAAAAGCAGACAGAATTCCAGGCTGCGCATCAGCATTGACGTGAGAAAACAGATGGTTCAAGTGCACCTAAGGGAGCGTGTACCCTCAGGGTGCTGTCTGCCTGCTTCAGTCATAGACCTGAAAACCAACTCTGTCAGTTTATTAACTGAGACACAAGTCTTTCAATCTGTATGACTTGATTTGGTCACTACAAGTATTATTTTACAAATGAGGTAAACGTGCCTTTCACTTTCAGATTGGGGATGGGTTTCACAGACCTGGTTTCTAAGTACAGTTATTTTGACTCCCGTGTTCCTCGCGGTGCGAGTTCCTATTTCAGGCTTTTTTCACGGTGGCTCACTATGCGCTGCAGCTGTTGGTTCTGCTGGGGTCCCCTCCTGTTCACAGGTCGGGATGAACAAGACGCCGCGGTGGTGTTGGCTTCTGCCCGGTTCTCCATCCTCAAGTCAGCGTGCGTGGCTGGGAAATAGGACCCTCGGTCCAGTTCCTTTTTATGATTTCAGTGTGCTCTCGAAATTAACTTCCAATTCTATTAAAAATTCAAATACTTTGTCAGGAGCAGGTTTCAGAGTGTTTTTGTGTTTTGTTTTGTTTTCCTAACTACAGAGTATCTGGCTTTTGCATTTGCACTGATCTTACCTGCTTCTGAGACCCAGAAAGCACTCCCTTTTCAACCTGGTTTTTGCTGACCACCAAGGCAGAAAACAGCATTCAGTTTAAGATGCCATTCTGATGAGGTATTTTCTTTTCTGCTTAATAGACAGAAGGGTGCAAGTAGTTCTAACCCAGAAGCTAAGAGCATGGAGAAGCTCCTAAGTCAGGTCTTTTTAATCCACCTTAAATTTGTATGAGATACCACACGTCTGTCTAATTATAAGCACGTCAGAGCCAAGAATAAAGCCTTCTAAAAATCAGTTTGTTTGCTTTCATAAATGATTAACTGGCATCCGTGGTTCTTCTCTTCTCTAAAAACCATTAACATAACAGGTGATCTATTTTGCTAGTCTTTTAACTGTTCTGCTGGTTGTATTAATGTGGTTTAAGTTGTGTTCATAAATCATTTTGTCCTGACATCCTAATGATTTCCCCAGGGATCCAGCTAGACAAGGGAATAAAGCGTGAGTCTCAGGTGAACAGAAAGAAGTAAATTTATAAGAATTTACCCTTTCCTTTGAATTCTGGAAAAACTGCTTTGACCTCCGTTCATTATCATTCAGACTGCCCTTTGCAGACATATCTAACGCACACTGTCCTTTTGCTGTGAATAACACATCCAGGCTGCATGAGCAAAGCATGAAACGAGTGTATGTGGATATTATCCCTAAAACAGGTCATCGGTTCATGATCATAGCCCACAGTGTATGCTGCGTAATAAGGGACACGTGGTGAAAGCAGTTTGTGTCCTTATTCCACAGTCACTCCGAGAGCCCGTGGTGTGCATACAGCAGTCACAGCTCCAGTGCTGATGCCAATGATACATGAAAACAGCTCACTGCTGGATGTTCAAAAAACCGTCTCCATCAGGAGCTGTGGGAGTTCGGAGGAAACACAGATCACTTGTAATTGGGACAAATAAACAATTAGTGGCTTCAATAATGTTTCATGCTTTCAGACCAAGTACTTCAGGGCCCATCTGGGAAAGGAAGAGGCAGACAACCCGGGACACTCTTCAGAACTCTGTGTGAGTTCTGGGTCTGTAAGTCCCCACCCAGCCCAAACCAAACCCGTTGCCCTCCAGTTGATTCCAACTCATAGTGACCCCGCAGGACAGAGTAGAACTGCCCCATAGGGTTTCCAAGGAGCAGCTAGTGGATTTGAAATGTTGACCTTGTAGCTCTTAACCACTGCACCACCAGGGCTCCTCACGCAGCCAGGGGAACCAGAAACCCTAAGCAGAGTCAGACATTAATCAGGAGGATAGAATCTGACCCCTTGGGCTCCTGTGGTGTCAAAGGTAAAGCAGTTCCCAGCATGGGCGCCCTGACATACCTCCCTTCTCACCTAGACCACTGAAGCCGTCTGTATCCAGCTGGTTCCACAGAAAGACTGACTAGGATGCTTAGGATTACCTGGGCCTGCAAAAGGGTAAATGAGCCCTGGTGCACAGTGGGTGAGCGCTTGCTGCTGAGAGGTCGGTGGTTAGGATTACCTGGGCCTGCAAACAGGAGTAAATGAGGAGCCCTTGGGGCACAGTGGGTGAGTGCTCGCTACTGACTGAAAGGTGGGCGGTTCAAACCCACCAGCCACTCCACGGGAGAGAGCTGTGGCAGTCTGCTTCTGTAAAGATGACAGCCTTGGAAACCCTCTGGGCAGTTCTACTCTGTCCTACAGGATCTCTGGGTCGGAATCAACTTGAGGGCAGTGGGTTTTTGGTGGGGTAACAGTTAAGCGCTCATGGTTCAAACCCACCAGCGGCTCTGCAGGAGGAAAGACTTCGCATCTTCTCCAGTAAAGATCACCACCCGGGAAACCCTTCGGAACAGTTCTGCTCTGTCACACGCCGTGCTTGGGCTCCTAAAGCTTAGTGAAACACGCTAACCCCTTAGATTCATTCACACTTACTCTCATCTGTCAGCCAAACTCTGTTACAGACACTCACTTACAAAGTGTTGATGGAACCATCACAGGTGCGTTGCTGGTCCTCAGGATGCTGGGTGGGTGTCAAACCGTCAGGTAACGGAATGCTAGTGAAACCTCTTTCTGACGTGCACTGGTTAGCTGCCGTCAATCCCGACTCGTGCGCAGGTCAGGTAACTTACATAAGCAGACAGACGTGGGCTTTCGTGGGCTTACCTTTGTGCATCCTGTTTATTCACGTGGTTTCTGCTACAGAGGAACCAGCTCTTAGCTGGCTGACTTCCTTGGGATTCGGTGATTACATGTTTTATATTGTTTAATTTAGGGAAAAAAAAACAGATTCAAAGACAAACCTGTAAATGTTACATACAATTTTTAATAACCGTAAAAGCACCATCATACGGGACACTGGAAATACCACTCCACAGAGCGTTAGAAGCTGCTGGCCCACAGTAGAAAGCGGACATCCCACGTGGTCGTGGCTGCCGTGGTCACCAAGTTGACTTGCTCCTAACCTGCTGGCATGGAGTTTGGATTCAGGAACATGTCAGACTTGAGAACTTCATTGTCCTAAACACCACACAAAACACCAACACTGCTCACCTTACAGTAAGCACGGTTTCTTGGTGCAAACAGTTAAGCGCTCACTACTAACTAAAAGGCTAGCAGTTCACATCCACCCAGAGGTACCTCGGAGGAAAGGCCTGGCCATCTACTTCCAAAAAATCAGCCACTGAAAACCCTACGGAGCACAGTCCTACTCCGATGCCCATGGGGTCACCACGAGTCAGAGTTGACTGGCTACTGGTTACGTGATCTCTGTGCTGGGGTGCTTAACTCCTCGTGCTCCCACACATTCAGGCTGCCGACCAATCACATTTATAGGCAGAAATTTTAAACATCATTTAATTATTCCTTTCAAACATTGGTGTTTTACGGAAGGCAGGCTTGTTTTACTCACACTAGTTGAGCAATAGCCGAAATGTATTCAGGTTTAACCCTGTTGAACAAAGTGGTGTTAAAACACAAAGTGTGACTTCCCAAAGTGTCTCCTTTGAAGGGCAGTATTGACGCAGATGTAAACTTTCTGGCATATTTGTTTTAGAAGAAAATCAATATTTAGGAAGCTTAGGGGGCAGTGAGTTTACGTTACCGGAGAAGGAACAACTCAGAAACGGTGGGTGAAAATGGTTGCACAACTCGGAGAATGTAATCAATGCCACTGAATCGTACATGTAGAAGCTGCTGAACTGGTGTTTGTTTTGCTGTGTATAGTCTCAACAACAAAATAAAATCGCTGTCATCAGAGTCACGCAAACCACATAAGTTAGCAATGGCGCTAAAATTTCTCCCGTCGCCTCTCCTTCCCCCACTTTCCTCACGGAGATGAATTTCCTGGAAAAGTAAACGGACACTTCAGAGAAAGTAGCGCTGAAGCTTAGATACTGTAAACCCTTCCCTTCGTTGATGAACCTGCTGGACTAATCTCGGTATGTTCTCGGGTTTCGGGTTTCCCTCGAGAAAGGGGCATTGCTTCCTCCAATCTGCAGAAGCCCCGCAGCAAACCAGGCACATGGGACACTTGAACACAAGCCTGCTGCAGACGATGACTAGAATGACATCTGCTAGAAAACTTGGGGTTCAATTATCTACACTGGAATTAGAGCTCTGGCTAAAACTGAACAAGGAATAAATACCAAAAACTGGCGTAAAAACTGATTTAGGAAAACTGTAAACAGCCGGAAGACAAGACGCTAATATCCGCGGTGGCAACCACCCCTCCTGCTGAAGAAGCTGTCGCTGGCGAAGCCCCCGGGGGCCCTCCGGCTGGGAAACTCTGCACAGGCCCGCCAGTCCCCCGCGCCCTCGGAAGGCGCCGCCGTATTCCTGTCCTGGCTTCCGGTCGCCCAGCTCGGCTTTTCGGCATGAAGCACGCTGTGAAAGGTGACACCGTGTTCATACTGTTCTTTCATGCGGTGGATCTTCTCTCTCGGGACTCCATGAATGTTTCTTCTGTGTGGGAAAAGGAGGCAAGTGTTCGTTACGGTGCTATGTCACAGGAGTCATCTGCATTTTACGAGGCCTGTATTATCACCTAAATGCTCAGGACTTGACTGGCAAAAGCCAGACACCTTGCTACGCCTGCTATCTTTCCGGCCCCACTCCTGTCTGCCATGCTCCCCGCCCCCGCCACCTCCAAACTGCCCTGAAGTTGGCAAGGAGCTGACACTTCAGAAACGCTTCATTTCTGGAAGTCTCCATTCTGTGCTTCTAGAGGTCAGAGGACACCATGAGGCCCCTGTCTTGTACCTGCCTGTTGATAACATGCACACAGCATCCATTTGCAGCAGCCAGTCCTGGATACTTCTAGATGCTCACCAAAACCATCTGAGAGTCTAGTGGGTATCCAAAACCCACTGGGGATGTGGTTCAAATGTAATTACTAGAGATTCCGACTATGGAATGGAGTCCGCGAACTAGGATTTTAACCACCCCCCCAAGGCGTTCTGATGAGGCTGGTCCACAGACCCACTTCCAGAAACACTTAACAATCTGCTTGTAACTGTAAGAATGAACTAGCATCATTTCTAAGAAGTAAACGATGATTTTATGGTTGCTTTACATCACTAGCACTATCAAATAACACAGACAGTAAATAGCAGAACCCATGCATCCAATCAACAAGTTAGTACTACTATCTGGAAATGTATTACTTTACCAGTAGAAGCAGCATCTAGACCCTACATGAACCACATCCAAAAACCTTTATTTAACCTAAATGCAAACACCCCATTGACACGTACAATCCCATGCAGAGGGAAGTGCTTTTAAATGTTTATTAATGAAGAAGCGTTTCAGCAGAATGTTCAGTTTGCCCTTTGAAAGGACGAGTCCAAGCCAAGACTTAGCATGTTGCATTATGTTAGCAACTGACCCCAAACCAAAGTCTTCACATTCATAATTCCAAAGTGATCAATTTCCAAGAATTACCATTTCTGGCCTGAAAACTACCATGTCCATTTCCAGCCTGAAAAGATTCTTTGTTCATTCTGAAACACCTGAAAATAGCAGGACACACAATGAGACTCTAGAAAAGCAAAGAAGTACCTTGCTAACTCTGGAACGTTGAATTTCCAGCGAGTGGCAGGTTCTCGGAATAGAACTTCATAGTTATTTTCAAGTGCCTGATTTTTCAAAAGCACATAAAACATTGAAGACATAGTATGTATGTTTGGGAATGTATACGCTGCCATTTAACATTTACGAGTTCTTTCTAAAATTCCTTGCTTTACCAGTAACCCAGTGCCTAATTTATCTTACAAAATACAGTTGGTTCATTTCAACACCTAGCCACTCTTAGATTATGTATTATGGTTCCCAGTGATAAATTTTGGTCAATTTTATACAGTATGTAGGAAAATGGTAAGGGTTCCTTCGTTTTGAACATTTTACAAGTAGATAGCTGTGCCCTGAGACAACCTCTAAACTTTAAACCAAAAATATCCCCTGAAGTCTTCTTAAAACCAAACAACAGTTTAGCTTAACTAGTAAAGAATGTCTGCCTTGAGCACTGTGCTCTTTTAAGAACTATCTATATGGGATCAAATTGACAAGAGCACCTCAAAAGATTAGATAGGAACCTTAGGGGGCAGTGAGTTTAGGTTAATGGGCAAAGGAAAAATTCGGAAAAGGAGGGTGAGAATGGCTGTACGACTTGAAGAATGTGATCAATGTCACTGGACTGTACACGCAGAAATTGCTGAATTGGTGTACGTTCTGCTGGGTATATTCTCAACAACAAAAATTAAATAAATCATGTATTTAAAAAAAAAAAAGGGGATGGCTGAACTAGTTTAATGCCCTGCCTGCAGGTATGAGCAGTGACCTCAAAGACTTCTCAAACTCTCCTACATGATGACTGTAGATTCACTTCGGTCAGGTATCTTGTCCTGCCCCCTATGCCTGGTTGAGAAAGTGAGAGCATCATAGCAACATGGCTGATGAAATAAAAGTCATTTCCACAGAGTGGCTACCTACTCTTCCTCCTAAAGCAGCTCTCCCTGCACTCGGTACAGTTGGGCTTCATGTCCCATTTCCTTGAGTTTAGAAAACTCTTGTAATACCTACACATCCCTATATTCTTTACACTCATAAATTCACTGCTTTTCTTCTCAAACTAAACTTTCTCTGATCACTGTTGTTTATTGTGTTGTAAGATACAGAATGAAGTGTGGATACCTGAGTAAAAACATCTCTCTTCATTCCTGGGATGGACACTTGTAACCAGGGAAGGTTTCAAATACCACATCTGGAAAATATCTGATGTCTGGGCGCTATGCAATCACTGTGGATGGCTGAAAACGATTGTACATAGCCAGAAAATAAAAGTAAAACAACTTCCCTTAGTCCGCTGTCAGCGAAGCCTAACTCTTGGGTTTCATCTGTGCCTTAACTCACTGGACCACTCATGTCTCTGCGCCTTTCTTTTCTAATTTGGACTCTCGATCCATGAACGGAAGTATCAACAAAGGTAGACCCCGTTCTTCTCACACTCACCAAAGTCCCACAAGATGGACCTACGTGAAACTGACGGACGTAGAGCTGTGGACCAAAAGCGAACCTGTAGGCACGCTACTCTGCCCGAGATGTAAGAAGCCTAAAAACAGGCCGCCATGAGCCCAGTTTTAGAGATATTCATTTCACAATTAACCAAGTGGGGATTAGGGATGACGAAGTACAGTACTCAGCTGTCTTCTTCCTGCCCCACTCTGTATGTTTCTGGAGCTTTCCTCCTCCCTATGCCCAATAGCAGAGCCCTGGTGGCGCAGTGGTTAAGAGCTCGGCTGCTAACCAAAAGGTCAGCAGTTCAAATCCACCAGCTGCTCCCTGAAAACCCTACGGGACAGTTCTCTGTTCTATAGGGTCGCTATGAGTTGGAATCGACTCAACAGCAAAGGGTTTGGTACGGGTTTTTTATGCCTAATATCAGGAGCCCTGGTGGTGCAGTGGTTAAGTGCTCAGCTACTAACTGAAAGGGCAGTGGTTTGAACCCCCCAGAAGCTCTGCAGGAGAACGATCTGGCGATCTGCTTCCATAAAGCAGCCTCGGAAACCCTATGGGGCAGTTCTACTCTGTCCTATAGGGTCGCTGTGAGTCGGAATCAACTTGACAGCAATGGGTTGGGCATGCCTAATAGGGAATGAAAACTTAGCGTAAGAGATGCAATATGTCTGAAAAAAAGATCACACATACCTCAAAATTAAACCAAATGTGTACAATGTTCTATTCATATTACTGTTCTATTAATTCCGACAGTGGAAGGTAGCTTTATCTCTACCTGTGTATTTATATTATAGTATCTGAATAAAGCTACAGGATTAATCCTAAATCTGTTCTTAAACTAGACAATTCTGTTGCCTTGCAGGTCCCAAGGCAGCAACGGTGCAGAGTGCTGCCACCAGCTCCTGGAGGCAAGGCCGCCTGTGAGCGCAGCCGGCAGCTGGGCCAGGCGCATGGGGAGCCCAGTCCTGCTCTGTGCATTTCACCAGCTGCTTCTCTGCAGAGCCTCCACTTAGGAAAATGACCGAGACAGAAAAGCCATCAAGAACTCAGACCAACGACTATTTACCAAAGACTACTTAAAAATTGTAGGGGCCCTGGTAGCACAATAGTTAAGCGCTCGGCTGCTAACCAAAAGGTCGGCAGTTCAAACTCACCCAGCGGCTCCTCGGGAGAAAGACCTGGTGATCTGCTCCCATAAAGATCACAGCCTAGAAAATTCCAGGGGGCAGTTCCATGCTGTCACCTGGGGCCGCTATGAGTCGGAATCGACTCCTCGGCACCCAAGAGCGACATTTAAACTTCGTGCCCTGAGGCAAGATGAGCATCTAGGTGAATTTTCTGCCACTGAACAGCGGAGCAGCACTACAGTCAAACCCCTCACTGGCTCCCCGGAAAAGCTACCTTAGTAAACACGACGAGGTCATGGAAGGCCAGAGAAAGGGGGAAGAACAAACGTTTCAACTTTTTCACAAAATGTCCGCCAGCGAACAATTCACAATGATACTTCTTCCTACCATGAGGGCATAGGGCTTCATCTCCCAGGCCTGGAGGTTGGTGTTATCAATAATTACGGGGGAGACGCCGTTCCTCATCGCTTTTCTCGCTGCAACACAGTGTTACATAACAGTTAACCACACAGGCGACAGTCAGGGAAGGCCAAGCGAGACCCGGCCTTGGTGCTTTCATTACAGGATGTCCTCCCACTCCAGCACCCATCATCAGTAACCTTCTCCCGGAATCTAGGGCGGGTATCATGCCCAGGCATTCTGTTTGGGCAAAAGAGTGGAGGGACTTTGTAGGTTCCTTCCCTAAAACGTACGCATTCTGCGGCAGCTACAATCTATCAACGCACAACAAGCCTCCCTGGGGCTTGGGGAAGGGTCCGTCACCTCTTTTCTGGTTCCATTTGTGAGCTTCCTCCAGGAAGTCGGGGTTGAACTCATAGGTGCCGTCCTCCTGGGAGAAGAAGTCATCCGTGCTGAAAATCACGGCCCTGGGGAAGTCGAGCTGCAGCTGTCTGGAAAATGGGGAAACGAGAGAAACTGATTTCTTAACCCACCGTCACCCTCGAACTCACTGCCTTCCATCTCTAACAGCTGGCAATCTGTGATTCTGAGAACACAGGCTTTGAGGTGTTGACATTCCATTTGAAAAGAAAGCCTGTTGGCGCTGAGTCAATTCCGACTCGGAGCGACCCCATAGGACAGAGTAGAACTGTCCAAGAGGGTTTCCAAGGTTGTAATTCTTATGGAAGCAGATTGCCAGGTCTTTCTACTGCAGAGCAGATGGTGGGTTCAAACCACCAACCTTTTGGTTAGCAGCTGAGTACTCAACTACTGTGCAACCAGGGTCCTTTGAAAATGCTAACCAAACCAAAAAACCAAACCCGTTGCCATCAAGTCAATTCCGACTCATAGCGACCCCATAGGACACAGCAGAACCGCCCCATAGGGTTTCCAAGGCTGTGATCTTTATGGAAGCAGATCGCCACATCCTTCTCCCACGGAGCGGCTGGTAGGTTCAAACCACCAACCTTTTGGTTAGCAGCCAAGTGCTTACCCACTGTGCCACCAGGGCTCCTAGATTTTAAAAGAGAGGCTCACCGTCTCTGCGAGGTGTCTCTCCTGAATTGGAGGCAGCAGAAGACTGAGATGGGACCTGTGTGTTGCTAACCTTGAAGCTAAGAGGTGCTGGTCACCACCGCTGACCTGGGCAGCAACCAGGACTGACTCTGATGACGAAGCTGAGGGTGTGGTAACTTCCCTCTGCCCCAACACCACTGCTCTCAGACATGGCCAGTCCCTGGGGCCACCTGAGACCTGCCCTCCGGCATCATGTCCCGTGCTCAGTCCTTCCCTTGGCCCCACAAACGCTTACCTGCCCAGGGTCCCGCTTCCTTGGAGCTCCGACTCCATAAGGACCCAGGAGAAAACTAGTTCTCCCTGAAGTGTGGTGTGTGGGGGCCGCCCTGTCAGGTAACGTATTTACAATGACCTCAACCCAGAGGAAAGAGAGCACATGCCATCCTCTCTCTCTGTCTCTACAACAGGAAAATATCAGCGAAAGAAGACAAACCATCAGGGAGGACTTCTCTCAGAGTCTCTGGGTGCTACAAATGGTTAACGCTCTTGGCTGCTAACTGAAAGCTTGGAGGTTCGAGTCCACTCACAGGTGCCTTGGAAGAAAGGCCTGGTGATCTACTTCCAAAAAAATCAGCCATTGAAAACCCTGTGGAGCACAGCTCTACTCTGACACACGTGGGGTCGCCAAGAGTTGGAGTTGACTCCACAGCAACTGTTTGGTTTTTTTTTTGTGGTTAGTATTCCTTTTAAAAAAAAAAAAGTGTATTATGCGTTACACAAAATAACTTCAAAGAGAAGACGTTTCTACTTAAATCAATATTCAGATTTTTTTGGAAGAAGGTAGATTTTACACTAGGTAGGAAATGAGTTGACATTGCTGATTTCAGATGAATCCTGGCTGAAAGCAGAGAATACCAGAAAAATCTTTACCTGTGTTTTATTGACTATGCAAAGGCATTCAACTGTGTAGATCGTAACAAATTATGGATAACACTGTGAAGAATGGGAATTCCAGACCATTTAATTATGCTCATGAGGAACCTGTACTTAGACCAAGAGATAGTCGTTCGAACAGAACAAGGGAATACTGTGGTTTAAATTCAGGGATGGTGTGTGTCAGGGTTGTATCCTTTCACCATACTTATTCAATCTGTATGCTGAACAAATAATATGAGAAAATGGACTATATGAAGAAGAACGAGGCATCAGGATTGGAGGGAGACCAATTAACAACCTGAGACACGCAAATGACACAGCCCTGCTTGCTGAAAGGGAAGAGGACTTGAAGCCCTTACTGATGAAGATCAAAGACCACAGCCTTCAGTATGGATTACACCTCAACATAAAGGAAACAAAAATCCTCACAACTGGACCAATAAACAACATCTTGATAAACGGAGAAAATACTGAAGTTGTCAAGGATTTCATTTTACTTGGATCCACAACCAACACCCATGGAAGCAGCAGTCAAGAAATCAGACGACGTACTGCATTGGGCAAATCTGCTGCAAAAGACCTCTTTAAAGTGTTAAAAAAGCAAAGATGTCACTTTGAGGACTAAGGTGAACCTGACCCAATCCATGGTGTTTTCAATCGCCTCATATGCATGCAAAAGCTAGACAATGAATAAGGAAGACCGCAGAAGAACTGATGTCTTTGAATTATGGTGTTGGCAAAGAATATTGAAAATATACCATGGACTGCTAGAAGAACAAACAAATCTGTCTTTATATAGGAAGCTTACGGGCAGTGAGTTTATGTTAATAGGGGAGGAACAACTCAGAAAAGGAGGGTGAGAATGGTTGTATAACTTGAAGAATGTCATCAATGTCAATGACTTGTACAGACAGAAGCTGTTGATTTGGTATATGTTTTGCTGTGTATATTCTCAACAACAACAAAAATAAATTATTTTTTTAAAACCCTGTCTTCAGGCTCACTTTTTCTACTCTGCACTCTCTCCATGAGCAATCCATCACACCATGATCTTGGAGTCATCAGCCTCCACAGCCTGTGAGCCAGCGGCCTGCTGTCTGACCTGCCAATCTTGAGTTCATCAGCCCCTGCTGCTACATGAGTCAGGAGAAGCCTCCAGCCTGACCTGACCCACAGACTTGGGACCTGCCGGCCTTTACAGCTGCGTGAACCATTTCCTTGGGACAAATCTCTCTCTATATATATATACGCTTCACTGGTTTTGCTTCTCTAGGAACGCAGCCTAAGACACCTCCATCCCCACAAGCCTCATGGATGCCACCAACCCACAATGGCTAAGGGGACTTCAGGGAAGTCTCCCCACGTTTGCCTCCTGGGGGTCACGCTCAGAACTCGAGAAGGAACCACATGTACAACCAGCCTCGGTATTTTAGCCGTCTTTTCCCAAAATGTCACAAATCAGTTAGATGACAGAACAGTGGCCAAAGAGAACAACTGCCACTTTGTGGTCTTTTTTTGACTGACTGCTGTAGAAATGGGGGAGCAGCTGCATCTTTGACGCTAACTTTTAATCCCTTTTTTGGTACAAATGGAGTCCGTGGGTGCTGCAAACAGCGCTCAGCTGTTAACTGAAAAGCTTGGGGATTGAGTCTACTCAGAGGCACCCTGGAAGAAAGGCCTGGTAACCTACTTCTGAAAATCAGTCAATGAAAGCCCTGTGGATCACAAGGGTCTGAGCCACACCAGATGATGGGGATGGCACAGGACACGCAGTGTTTCGTTGTGCGTGGGGTCGTCACGTGTCAGGGCTGCCGCCACAGCAGCAGAGGACAACCACAGAAGTTGCCGAGGAGAGGGCAGTGGAGAAGGAAGAGCAAGCTCCCTCCCCAGACTCCCCTCCGGGTAAAAACGGGCCCCTTCTCCCCAAGCCGTAGGCACGATCCAAAAGAGATCCGCCGAAGGAACAATTAAAAATTAGACTCGTTTTTGTCATACTAGGTCCGGAGTCTCACGGAGCCCAGGCATCTGAGCACTCGGAGTGGTCAGAAATAACTTCCTACTGGACTCATCTAGAGCCCTGGTGGCCCAATGGCTAAGTGCTGGCTATTAACCAAAAGGGTGGCAGTTCGAACCCACCAGCAGCTCTGTGGGAGAAAGATCTGGTGATGTGCTCCTGTGAAGATTACAGCCTAGGAAATCCTATTGGGCTGTTGTTCTACTCTGTCACTATGAGCCGGAATCGGCACCCAGCAACAACACAACCGTCTGAACGGCCTCGGACAGGTGCCGTGAACGGAGGGTTCACTGAAACGTCAAGAAGGAACTCGGCATGGAGTCAAATTAGAAATACCCTATCACCAAAGGCACCCTTGAGCGGGGGGTGTTGATCAGGACGTCTCTCTCGCACACATCCTCATCAGGACAAACATGAATACTTCGTAACAAAGTCTAAACTTCTTCTCCTTCCATCATCCCCAGCGGTGCCACGTTAACACAAAAGATGGATTCCCTGGTGAGTCAGTTTCTGAAATTAGGAGACAAATAAAACAAAAGGAGGTGACTGGGCCTAGAGTGGCCCAGGTGGCACAGTGCTTAAAGCACTTGGCTGCTAACCTAAAGGCCAGTGGTTCAAACCCAAACCCACCCAGCAGCTCCGCGAGAGAAAGCCCTGGCGATCTGCTCCTGTGAAGATTACAGCCTAGGACACCCCACGCAGCAGTTCTAGCCTCTCCTGTAGAGTCTCTACGAGTCAGAATCAACTCAATGGTAACAGTTCTTTTCTAATTTATTTTTTTATTTTCCTGACCCTGGCACTGAAATCCAGGTTAACTTAGCCCCCTTAAGACCAGGCCCTCTCCTCTTTCACCGGGCCACTCCACCAGCCTCCTCCTTTTGGAAGAAGACAAGCTCTGGACTAGAAGTCAGGAGACGGTTCAGCCCAGTGACCGTGATCAACACACGTCTCTGAGCTTAGTTCCCTGGGTGTGGACTGGATGGCCTCTGATGGAACTTCCTGTATATCTGCTGAGCTTTCCTGTGAAAAGTCTTCCCTTTGACGTCTCCTTCCATTTCCACCTCATGTCGTAATCCCCATGGGAACAGGACGGTGCTCCAGTCCAGCCACGTCTTCTTCCCCTCTCCAAGCAGCGCCAGGAGTAGGCTGATGTGACTCTCCTGTAGAGCTGGACTGTGGACATGGGTCTAAACACAGGCTGCATATGGATTCTGACTGTTCAAATACAGTCCTCATTCATCCCAGCCTCCAGAGGGAGGCGCAGCAAGCACTTTTCAGGGCTGGGGACAGGAGATTTACGATCCACCTTAGGGAAATCATTAAAAATAGAAAAAGTTGTAGTAAGTTTGCAGTAAGAGGTCTGGTGGTGCAGTGGTCAAGCACCTGGCCGCTAACCGAAAGGTCGGCAGTTAGAATCCACCCGTCGCTCCACGGGAGACAGATATGGCAGTCTGCTTCTGTAAAGATTACAACCTTGAAAACCCTATAGGGCAGTTCCACTCTGTCCTACAGGGTCGCTATGAGTCAGAATGGATTCTACACCCATGAGTTTGGGTTTTTTTTTTTAATTAGTAAAGAATGTCTGCCTTGAGCACTGTGCTCTTTTAAGAACTATCTATATGGGATCAAATTGACAACAGCCACCTCAAAAAGGAACCTTAGGGGGCAGTGAGTTTACGTTAACGGGGGGACAACAAGAAAAAGAGGGTGAGAATGGTTACAGAACTCGAAGGATGTAGTCAACGTCACTGAATTGCACATGTGCAAATGGTTGGTGTGTGTTCTGCTGTGTATATTCTCAACAACAAAAAAATAAATCACTTAAAAAATATATATGTATATACACAAAGCTGGCAGTTGTCCACGTAGACCTAAGGGACTACGGACTTGAGGCGGCAGCTGCCGGATCTTCTATTTCCATCAGCACAGACGTGGAATAACACCAACTTCCATCGCGACCTGGTTCTATCCACGAGCGCGCTGGCCTCGGAGACGTGAAGGCCAGGCCCGGGCCTGCCGCCTAGCGGCCTTCACAGCGGGGTCTGCTTGTTCAGCTCACTCTCGGTTTGGCTGTGGGGTGTCCCTTGGCCCGCCTCTCTTATCACTACATCATATCAGGAAAGCATCCTGTCCGCTCCCCTGGGAAGAGATAAAAGGTGCGTCTCTTGATGGAAAATTCCATGCTGTTCCACATACAAATGAAGGGGAACGACGCTGTCAGCAAGCATCCTTGGAGCCTCGGCGAGTCCACACTACAAGCCACGTGTGATGGGGCCAGAAGGAGCTCGAACACTGCTAAGACGCAACGTGTTCTAGAGCCTGGTGCCCGGCCCCGCTCTCGCTAACGCGGAAGGAGAGCGACGTGAGGCTGACAGCTTTTCACTTGTCAGATAAAGCCCTCAGGGAAAAACAGCCTCCTCTCCTCATTTCATTTCAAACGGCATTTCACACTCACACACACTCAAATACTCACACACACACACACTCACACATACACTCACGTACACACACTCACGCACTCACACACACAGTCACGCACACACACACACACAGCAGAAAGCACACAGGTGAACAGGTGGCCGTCATGCTTCCACTGAGGGGGGAGGACAGGACAGGACAGGTACAGGGGGGAGGACAGG